TGAGTCACTTAGCCAAACCTCTAGACTCCCCCAGTTGACACAATGTATTAACCATAACACCAGGACAGTATTAGAAAGAGACTCCAGGATCATATAAATAAAAAGCTCGTAAAATATCTCAATCTTAGGGAGGTTTTCATGGCTATTTTAATGTAACACACAAAAGAAAGCCTAACAAGGGACAAATACTTTACAAAATAAATTATTTGGAAGTCAGATCTCCAAAACACCAGACAATAATCTTCTAATTGGCAGTAGTTCTATTTTATGGTACAACGGAGGACTTCTTGAAGTAGGCCACGTGGCTTCGAGACTGGTAATGAAAAACTGTAGTGTAGCCTGAAAACTAAGTACTTTTAAGGAAGCCCGTTGTGGTGGCACACCTGTGATCCCAGCACTATGGGGGGCTGAGTCAGGAGGACCACAGGTCTGACCGCAGTCTGGGCAACTTAGTGGGACCCTGTCTTAAGATAAAGAAATAATGAATATAAAGGACTGGGGCTGCAGAGGTCCTGGGCTCAAGCCCTAGCACTGTGCAGGTGTACGCACGCGTGCGCACGCACACACACCCCTCCCCCGAAGCAAGATGGTAAGAAATATAGCTAGTTACACTGTTCATTATAGAAATTCCTGGGAACTGGGTAGCCAGCCAGCTAAGTACTGACTGAAATAAGATACTAGGGGAAATTATAAATTTGCTATTGTGCTTTATTCTAATCTAGTGCCAGCCGCAGAACCTACCACAGATGAGGGCCACAGGATGCAGAACACGGGAGAAGGGGTCACTCCCTGTTTCAGGACATTTTCAAGCTTATGCCGTTTGAATCTTATTTCAAGTGAAATGGCAAAATTTGTCTCTCGATTTTCCTTATAAATCGTCACCTTTAATAATACCCGTGACTTTCACTGTTTTGGTACTGTAGCGTTTTTACTCAACTTGTCATGACTTTGAGCTGTCCTACTTGTGTCTTCATACACGCTGTGCTTTCTGTCTGGAACGACTCCCAGACTGGCCCTATTCCCCAGAGGGGAAACCCTCCGCACCCTTACAACTCAGAGCTCCGTGGCCAGCTCCCTATGCCCTTGGGGGGCCGGTGCGCTCTGAATGCAGCAGGAGCCAGGTACCTGCACGCAGCAGTTACTCTGCACGCCTGTTAACTGTGTACTTCTCGGACTCCTCTACTAGACGAAGTCCCTGAAGGCCCCAGGTCAGACTGACAGGCAGTAGCTGTTCAACAAATGAAGTTCCTGGAGACACCAACTCTCTCTTCCTTCCGTTTAACATCATACACTGTCTAGTGTAGCCCATGTTCTCAAAATCATTTGCTGTTTGACTGGTAATAAGTAGAATGAAGGAACTTTTGAAGTATACTATCATAACTATTTGTTAAACAAGTGAATAAAATTACAAAGGTTTTAAAAAAAAAAGGTCAAATCCACCAGCGAACATGATAATCTTAAGCAGAAGATGCTTATTTAAAAAGCAGTATTTCCTAAAAGAAAACAAGATAATAGAACTGTGTGGTCAGACCTCCCCGAGCAGTGCTTGCTGACTCCTTCAATCTGATGCCCACTACCCTCTCCTTCGAGAGGCCTGGAGGACAGTTAAAAACCAATTCACCTTGGTTTCACCCGTTAGTAAGTCACATCTGTCGCCTCTAACTGTAGAAATTTCTAGTACCACGGGCTCAACAATGATTGTACGGACCAAATTCTTTTTCTCTTCTTTCCTTGTGGCAGGGGAGGGTGCCAGGGATTAAAAAAGGGCTTTGCACATGCCAGGTGCACACTGGAGCGCTGAGCCCTAGAATATTTCTTTAAAAACGAAGTGTCACTTGGTAGTTTCATGCCATTCGTTAAGATTACTTTACCTTGTTCTTCCTGTTGTCGTTGTACTTGATCAAGTCTAGAATAAATGTCAGGACTTCTTTGGGACAAAGGTTATGAACGTCTCTTAATAAGGCCATTGCAACGGGCATAGTCTACAAAAAAAACCAAAAAGAAGTAAGGTTTTTAAAAGCACACAGCTCAACTTTTCACTGCAATTCTTGAGCCATACGCAGAGCAGTGCTTGTCGGGACGGGCACAGGTCTCGGGACAGAGCCGCCCGTCTCTGCCTGTTCCTCCAGGGTGTCCACCTGTCAGCCTCCTGACCAGAGCCCTGGGAAGAGCTAAGCAACGGGGTGCTCTGGAGCCCAGAGCCTCGGTCCTCACTGCTGGAGGAAAGTGCAGTACCCTAAGTCCCGACACTTGCTTCTTAGGGACACAAGGGAAAGGGACGATGTCAGCCTTAGATGATTCCTCAGCTCCGCTCCACCATCTCAGGGCTGAGGTCGCTGGCCAGCTGCCCACTGGACAGGGGCTGTGCCCCTCACAACTAGGGATGTGGGACTTGGTGACGCAGAGACTGGGGCCACGCGGCACATGGCAGCGTCATCATCAGCCTCAGACCATGCTAGTTCTCCAGGACCACACAGCCCCGGACGAGGAGCAACGGGCAGATGACCCTCGCCGAGGCCTGCCTTTGCCCCTTCCCAGTGTTCACAGGCCACTTCTCTATGGAGGCAGAAACATGAGTCTCACCAGCGGACTCTGCCAGTAAGGCAAAGCTGACGATTTGCTCGGCAGAACCAGCGTGGCCCTCAGAACGCGAGAGATGTGACCTCACCCTCTGCGGGGAGGTCACGAAGAGGACAGCAGTCGGCAGCCCAAGGCACAGGGCGGTGGGAACGACCGCAGTCACTGGCGCTCTCTGGACGCCCCTAACGAGGGGCCCTTCCGCACGGGACAGGGTGTGCACCTTGGCGCCGGCTCTCCCCTGCCTACTCCAAGTCCTCTGGGACAGGTAAGGCGTGTCAAGCGCTCGCCGTCCAAGGCTTTGATGCGGCTCGCCGCTCCTAACAACACAGCCACAGGCGCAGCGCACTCCTCAGAAGGTGCACAAACTGAAGGACGGAACGGGCCTCATTCCAAGACCTGCCCTCACCACACCCGATGCATTCTGCTACGGCCTATTCTGTCTTATTTAAAAACTGAAGCTCCACAAATAAAAACTCTGAAGTTAATGTTATGACCGCTCAGTAACTTCACAATGCATATCGGAAACGCTGCTCTAAGGTACCTGGAGGCACAGCGCCACAGAGAGGACATGCTAGGCAGACAGACTCGAACCTGCTTCCAGATGAGCCCAACACCCCGTGCTGGGCGGCAGAGTCAAGTCCTAAGCACAGTTCTCAGCACTCACGGGGCTGCGGGCCTCGCCAAGCCGCCTGTCCGCACACCCAGCCCTCCAGCACTCACTGCAGGACCTGGGACTCCGGCTGGGCGCGGAGCTCTCCCGCCACATGCAACGCCGCGCTGAGCCCAGCGCCACTCACGGATCGCCACCTCCTGCCTGCGCCAGGGGCGGAGGTGCTCGGATCTCATCTGCCACTGACCTTCTAAGCAGGCCCTCCCCTGCACATCTTCCCGGCACCCCCCCTTCCCTCTTCGCTCTGTCCACAGGCCGCGCCGCCCCACCCTGCCTCCCCTCCGGCTCTACCCTACCCCAGCACACTGCGAGCTTCTCTTCCTCTACAGGAGCCAAGACAAACCCACAATGTCCTTCTCTCAGGTCTGCTCTACCGTCAAGTTTCCTTTACCATTCCTCCACTGAACCTGCGAAAGCACGGCTCTGCTGCTTTCCTGCCCCGCAGCTGCAGCCTCCTGTCCCCTCCATGCGTCCAGCGCGGCCGCCTGTGCAGCAGGCCCCGGGCTCGGAGCTGCCCGCACAGCGTCTGCACATCACCCCCACCCCTGGCAGCCTCTCCTCACACAGGGCCCGAACCTCTGCAACCACACACACGGAACGCTCCTCTGCCGCCAGAATAGTGTGGTCCGGCTTCCCGCAGCGCGGACGAGCACCCAAGCAGGGCACCCGGCAGAGCCCACAGGGTGGAGTGCAGAAGACGCTGCAGTCGGAGCAACACCCTGAGGGCAAGGCGGGGCGCAGGGCCGGGTACACAGCAGTGCACCTGCTATGCAAACAGCTGCCAAGTTCAAACGGAACAGGCATGTCCGATCGCAGAAGTTGTAAGACGGAAGCGGGTAAAATTGGGCTCCGTGGAAAGAGAGTAAACTGTACCTTCTGCAGAAAGTAACTCTGAAAACTCATGAAGTTGTTTGTTTTCACAATGTTTGGGCAGGTCTTACAGCAGAACATCCTGGTGAAGAGGGACTTCATGGCCGGCGGTCCTGTCCACGTGCTCACCATGGAATTGGCAATCTGCAAGGCACCCGAAAATGAAGGGCTTTGCCCCGCTGCGGATGGATGGAGGGAAACCAAGCGGCTCTTTGACAGCCACCTCCGAGACCAAACAGCCTTCGCTGCCATTCATTTGGGACTTACCCTCCCAAATGATTCCTATGTGAACTCATAGTTACCTTCCCCAGTTTCTACATTACAGCATCCTTTTACGTGTTAACAAGAACTGCCTGCGAACAGGTGTTACTCTGGAGGCTGGGGATTTAGCTCAGCGGCACCGCGCCTGCCTGGCAAGCATAAGGTCGTGAGTTCAATTCCCGGTACCAGAAAAAAACAAACAAAAACAACAACAAAAAAAGGTGCTACTCTAGATAAGTCTTATACATGTAGAGAGCTATAACTGTAAACTTTTACATTTACTCGTAGGAACATCACTATTAATTTGAAGTAAGTTGTTTTGGTCTACTCGAGTGAAAACCAAGCCAACGCTGTGTACCATCTGCATCTGTAAGAATACACTGTAGTAAAAACAAATCAGACCATGCAACTGATATTTTTATGGTACAGAAAAAAAATGAAAAATTTTGTTTAAATAACGTTATACGATGTTATGGCTCTGCTAATGTTTTAGTACACAGGAGTCACAAAACTTTTTACGAGAAGCAATGAAATTATATGCCTTACGGAATCACTGCATTTCCCTCTAGTATCTAAATACAGGCCAACAGCTACTCATCATCATCAACCGTGGCCAGCTGCGGTGTCTCGCGCGATCAGGACACTGAGCAGGAGGGTCACTGTGAGTCTGAGGCCAGCTCGGGCTCCGTGGCAAGACCCTGTCTCAAAAATCTGAAGACAGGCAAACCTGTCTTTAGTAACCAACCGATCGTAACGTTCTAAACGGTAAGGCAAGTGCACCCAGCAGTTAGAAATGGGAGAGAGTCACTAAATGGGAAGGAACCTATTATCCAGACGCGTTGTAAACATATGGTACTAACATCCAAATTCCTGTGTTATTCTGGTTGCACTCATTCTCCCTTGAGATCTTTTTGCATATAAAAAAAGATACTGAGCTTCCTCAATAAAGTAACTTTTCTAGAACTAGAATTATAAAGCCAATTATTCTAAATTACTCATCACAAATACTGTAAGTAAGTCTGGACTGATGCGAAATAATTACCACACGGGATAATTCAGACTGAAGTGATTTCATGTACAATGTTTAAAAAAAAAATCATTTAAACTGGACTTCCTTAGCAAATGCAGTCTTTTTAAAAAAAATACGGTTGGTAATTTAATGAAACAGTGAAAATGCTATTTGGCTTTTAAAATCTGCTATTTTATAGTCGGACGAAAACAAAATATTCACAGATGTCTCTTCTGAGGTGGCAAGTTTCTTTTGAGTCAGCCTGTGAAGAACATTTAGCACAAGCCCTCGCAGGCGAGCTCGCTGCAGTCGAGAGGCTTTCCCGGAGCCCCGACGCGGCGCGCTCACCTTGGCCAGGCAGAAGCAGGCGGCCATGCGCACGCGGTAGAAGCACTGCTCCTGCTCCAGGATGTCGGTGAGCGCCAGGCGCGACGCGGGCGTGGGGAACTTCTCCAGCGCCAGGATGGACTCTTGCTGGGCCACCACGTCGCGCTCGTAGCGCAGCTGGTACTGCCACATGAAGTCGGCCTGCTCGAACTCCACCTTCCTGAGCACCGACATGTCGGGGTCGATCCGGATCCACAGCAGGGGCGAGTCTGCGCTGCGAGAAAACGCTTGCTTTGTAATTTTTAAAAAAGAAGAGTCTCTCATTTCTCTAACACAAAAACACAGCAGCTACTGGCCAGAATCTCAGTGTGTACTACACAAGACTGTTGAGTTTTACTGTGTTCATGTTTTAAGCTGCACTGAAAAATGTTCCATTATGTTTAATATACATCAACTTTCTCACAATGTTTAATCTGCATCAATCTTGCTAAAAAGATATTCAAGGATATAAAAACAGCTGTCACATAAAATACCGACTCCCCCACTTGCCATCTGAAAATACTATTTTTGGCATATTTACCCGTGAGTATGGGATGTGAAAAAGGAGAATGATGAAATGTCTCCATGTACTCTTCACAGCCTAATGACTGACTGTGGCTACAAACATGACCCTTTACGGGAAATCAATTTGTGACTAAAACCTAAAAAGTACTGCACTATATTAATTTGCTCACTTTATTTTTTTAAAATGCTTGACTCATGATTACTTTTCTTAAACAGCAAGTTCTGAAATCATAATTTGAAGGGAACCATGAGTATATCCTCGTGTACTTCTTAAGTAACAATCACAGCTTCAAAATCAAGTCTAGCGGGGCGTGGTGGCACACACTTATAATTCCAGCACTCAGAAGGCTGAGGCAGGAGGATCATTGTGAGTTTGAGACCAGCCTGTCTCAAAAAGACCAAAAAAAAAATCAAGTCTAGGTTAACTGGGTGTGATGGTGCACATTGGTAATCCCAGCACTCAAGAGGAGGCTGATTTATTTCGCTTATGAGTATGGTCTCTAGTTGTGACCATTTACCTATAAAAGCCTCGAGTTTATCTTTCTTTACAGCCGAGCAATATTCCATTATATAAAAGTACCACAATTTTCTTATCCAATCCTCGGTGGATGGACATTTGGGTTGCTTCCACATTTTAGCAATTACAAATTGTGCTGCTATGAACATAGGTGCACATATAT